AAAATTCAGCTAAAGGGAATGAGATTTGAGACGATAGAAGAGATTCAGGCAGAATCGCAGATGGGGCTTGACAGGCTGAGAAAGAAAGATTTCCAGGGATGCTTCCAGGCTTGGCAGCGGCGCTGGGATCGTTGTGTTCACTCCCAGGGGAACTACTTCGAGGGTGATGGATGAATTTAATACCTGAGATAAGTGTACGGGTTTTTATACGCGCAGTCTTGAAACTTTCCGATCGCACCTCGTATATGCTGAAATTTTGAAACTTCTTTACCCTGCTGTGTATGGTGTGTGTGTGTGCATGTGCATAAATGGTATATCTGACATGTTCTTCGGATGCTGACCTGGCCTGCTGTTGAATTGCTTGCTTGTCGCGGATCTTGTTTCAATCGGGCCTGAAATGAGCGCGGCAACGTTGCCATGTTACATTTTTCACACTTAATTCCTGAACCCGAATAAAATGTTTCGTTCCTGGATTCCCAATTTAGCCTGATATAAAAGCTCCTTTGTGCCTGCTCATAATGACACTGTTGTAATATGGGGTCCTCTACTTTCTTCACTGTCTTCTGCGCCAATGAACGACAACGGTCCGCAAATTCCTGAGGTGTTTCGTCCTTTCTTTGTCTCGCTGTTTGCAGTTGGACAAAGTGAAATCGATCGCTTCAAACATCCCTTAAAGGATTCCGAAAATGAGCGTTAAAGTTTTCCCACGTAATATCCGGTGCGAGAAGTTATAAACTTCCGCTATAAAATGTTTTGGTCGTGTCGATCAATTTTAGTATTGTGATTTGAATCTTATCTGATTCACTCCAATTTCCTACGCGTGCTGTACTGTCTACGGTTTCAAAAAACTCATTCACTGGCACTCACTTCTCTGAACCTTCACATTTTGGTATTAAAGAGACCGACGAAAGGTCTTTAGCCGCTGTTGGGCGCCCTGTTATCATCTGCGTACGTAAGTCACTCAATTCTGCCCGTAGGATTTCTATCTGTTGCCGTAAATGTGACTCCGCCATTATAAAATGTTTTGCACTTGTTGCTAAGCTTGACTAAAACAAGTAGTTTCCAACCGAAAGTATTTTTAAACAAACTAGTGAATCATTTAACATCAAACATTAAAAAAGAGAAGTATCCCAACGCCACAAACCAATTTGGCGATAGTTCTAGAAACCTGCGAGAAACATTCTCCTTAGCAGGATGCTTTGAGGAAACATTCAGTTTCAAATGGTTGTAAATATACCAATTAGCATATACAGTAACTAAATTTTGGAAGCGCCATTTTTATTAAGCATAAAACATGCTTCATTTGCAATGCAGAAGATTTCCATTCACTTATACACACATCAAAGAGGTTTATTCCTACAGGCATCTGTGCAAATAATCTTGCTGACTCTTGTATCCTGCATGAAACATACAGTTCGCTGTATGTGGAACACTGCGGTCGTGAAGAATTAGTGCAATTGAGTCATTAACAACAGATGCATTTATGTAAATGTTTAGATTTTGTATGGGTTAGTGAGTATTAACTCCATTCAACAAAAATAAGTTCTGGATAGCAAATGGAATGAACTGGGGTACCTCAGTCAGCGTTGTGAGTTGCTAGAGGAAATGTGTATGTTCTTCAGGAGCCAAGGTCAATCCGAAAAGCTCCTCGTTCTCCCTGGAAGCAGACGTAACATTCTCCCAGCCTTCATCTTAAATATTCCAAAGGCCAAAAATTCCTGGGACCTCTTTACAACCATGCAGAAGGACTGCTTGGCTTTTACTTTTTTATATACAGCATATGTATCTGTTTCGGCAATAGTCGGTCAGCTTCGGAATATTTCGTGTGTCGACTTCTCTCCGCGCGCGCAGACCGAGCTATGCGAGTTGGTATGTCGGAGCGGAGGAGCTGGGTGAATTGGTTTTTCGTTTCTCATGTGATAGTGCGGATATCCGTCTTTGCATGTGCGATGTGTTTGACGAGTGATTTCTCTTGTCTGATCATTAATATTTTTTTGGGAAGAGCCCAGATGCTTTGAAAAATGTGCCTCAGGTGTTATATAAGCAAGCATTTTTAAGTTTCTTGGTGTCAAAAATGTGTCTTTCGGTGTGTTCTCTGCTACGTATTTTTAATGTCTTCACATTCTATTGGGAAAAGTTCGAGCATTTTGTGGGTGACATGGTCCTGACAATGGTGTTATTTGGAATATCACGCAAAGAAACAGGTGAGTGACGCAAAACGTAAATTTGTTCTACCTCTAAACTATGAACGATCCATACACCCCAGAATGTCGCACTACATGACGTTAGTAAGTGAGTTTCACGCTGCGTCCACCTAACCCTGTGTTTTTTACTGTACTCACTACACACTGGTCCGAACATGGCGGCGAGGCGAACAGAAAAAAAATCACTGTTTCTGCCGGAATACGAACACCGGTCGTACAATCCGTGGGCCGTCACTTCTCTGCTTGCGATCCTCCCATCGCGGTTCATACTAATATTTGATAGAAGTCATGAAAACTTTAATTTATTTTGATTTTACGAATTAATCATGTAGTTTAGATTGCAGAGCTTTTACTGCGTTCCATCTGAAAACTCCCCCCCAAAGTACACGACGTAGGGAGTATGGATTAAGTTCAGCCTCCAGCGGCTACTTTAAACAACGAATGTGTAGCAGCAAATAACAGAATCCGGAGTTCCATTCGCTCTACGCGTTTGTCATTGTTTATTGCTGTGGGCGTCCTTTCAACTTTCGGTCCTGAGCCCCTGATGTGAAAGTTGGGTTAGGAGCACGATTTGACGTAACCCAGTGATGCACGCTTCCATGATTCGACACGAGAGGCAGCACTGAAATCTCGATGAGATCAATTGACATTCTATACTGCTATAGGCGGTGTATTGCATTGAGGTTAATTTTGGCATCACACGAACAGCTATGTGTTTTTGTTGCCTTCTGAAGTCAAGTTGAATGCAGTGCATAATAGAGACAGTAGTTATTAAAGTGTGGAGCAGGAGTCAAATTGAGCTGAAACACAGGTTCTTCTTTAATGGTTGGCCAGTCCGTGTCTCAAAGGCATCGCCGGTATTGACGCTCAAACAATGTGCCACGACGCGATCGTAAATATGCCACGACATTTTAAATTCAAGTTGGATCTTGGTTTATAAGTGTGTTAATATTAGTGAGATATTTCTTTATCCCAGATTAGTAATCTCATTAGCTCGTGTCTTCATATCTGTGTCAAATTGCAACTGCTTTCGTATTTTAATTGTTTGTCCATATTTATTAAATTATTATTATTTCCAGATAAAGGTATTTGATGTAAACTAAATAATTGTCATACTGTTTAATCCCCACGGTTTTCGAAATTATTTATACAGAAGGCTACAAAAATTAAAAAGAACTTAAATGACGTATGAAAGAAACGGACATTGTTCTGCACACAGGCACACGCAACTTTAAAATAACATTTCGTTTGAGATACCATGAGATTTTGAACCGGGCACAAAACAGTAAAAGAAACGCTGATAGTGACCACTTATGGCTTTTGCCCTTCGTATTGGACCAGAAACATTGCTAAATTATCTGAAAACACAGTAACAAAGTGAAGGATCAGAGCACACCGATTTTTTTTTTTTTTTGTAATGTCAAGTTTATCCTAAAGGACCTAGAACTATTTACTGATACTTTTTAAAATATGTTTGAGTATTTTGCTGAAGTTACTTTTTAGGGCATGAAACATGGAGTCGTTATAGGATTTTTGTACTTTCAGATTATAATTTGGCTTACAGTTCTACAGGCAGAAGTGAATGTTTGCGTGATTTTTGTTAGAGGCACAAAAAGCACCTCTAAATAATTGACTAAATCAGGGTGGTCCAACTTTTTTCCTCGCTAGGGCCAGAATGGCTTTCCAGTTGGACGTAAGGGCCATGAAAGTCCCCCTGTCACTAATTTTGCAAGGTCATTACCTTTAACCCTTTGCGGCCGGATGTCGGACTGAGTCCGCCAAGTATTTTACGAATATTTTACGTGATCTGGAGTCAAACTGAGGCATATCATTCAAGCCATCTTTTTTGCACTAGTTGTATCCTAATTTACTTAAGACAAGACGCAAAGGTAAAGGTAGCAGCTCTGTCGTGGCATTGCACGTTAATTAATAACCTGAGGTTTGGTTGGGGGATAAATTGATATAAAAATAATGAACTGTATTTATTTGAATTTCCAGGAAATGTCTTGGTTTCAGGGCATATGCAATCCGGGGCTGTTTTTTTTTTGTTTGTCCCGTGATAAATTTGCCTTCAAATGTCGAGAGAAACTCGGATGGAGCTTGTCTTTGTCTGTTAACTGTGATTTGTGGCGATTGCTCGAGGCATGTTTGTCTTACTTACATGTCAGGACTACGAATTTCACATGGAAATGAGTATCAGGAAAGTAGAAAACGTTCAGTGAAATCTACGAACATTCATGTCTGCCGTCTCGTACCTGTAATTTGAAATATTAAAAGTGAAAACAAACCGTCTTTCATCGTCCATCAGTATCATCTACACTCGAGAAACATTTTATCACATTTCGCTAACACAGTTACAGAAAATATGTAGCTCAACATGAGATGATGTAACTCACGAAGGAATGCGTCTTCTACCATAAATAATTTACTTAATATAAATTGAACAGAAATGTAATTTGAATGTGCATTTATGTAAGGAAATTGTCCATTTTCTTAAAAAAAAAAAAATATATATATATATACTTTTTCTTCTGGTGTTATAAAATATCAGAGATTTCGGAGTAGAATAAGTGTAAAAGAATTATCTTTGCGAGTCGTAAAATGTGTTGACCTAAAGAATGCCATGTCTGAGAGGCTGGCTCTGTCTTTGTGTAGAATGGAAAGCTGATTGAAGCTAAGGGCACAGGCTTCTGCCGAAATGTCGTTGCTTATAATTTGTTTCCAGACAAACTTAAAAAAAATTCCCCAATCGGAATTCAATGCACGATTGCCACACCACATTTCAGAACAGTTCCCACGTGATCTTTGTTTTACTCAGATGCACATAGAAACCCGGCCAACGCGCTATTATAACGTAATACATTTTATTACATAAAATTGGAGGGAGAGGTTATGTGTGTATTAAAACGCAGTCAAATGACTTGTGTTCTGCGCTATCTGCCTTTAGTAAACTTCATTAAGCCATTACCTTCGGTCAGAATAATAAATTTAATCACACACTTTCTTTGGAGAGATGCGCGTGTCTTGTTTGAGACATGCGCCCGAGACAATATTTCCCTCTTTTAGCAATAGATTTTCAAAAAAAAAAAAATTGTCCCACCAAAAAATAAATCTGGAGAGGTTCTGCTGGACGTAAAACAGACAAAAACCAAAATGAAACGAATTTCTGTGGGATTTCTGGCTCTTCCACAAACAAATATAAAGAAATCTGTCTTCTGGGGTATTTTTGGACCTGCTTACTCACTCCGTCAACAGATGGCAGGAGACTGCGTGGTCAAACACGCCAAGAGACAGCCATTTCCAAGTAAACATCCATGAAAAATGGGAACATGAGTCTGATAGGCGTCGTTAAACCTGAAACTGGCCTAACACTTTGATGAAAGCCGGAGATTATGGTGATGCTGATGTGCTGAACGCCAGAAACTTCCAGCCCAAATAGTACCACTGATCAAAGAAACTTAGTCAAAGAGCTTCTTATTAATGCAGTTACAGTTTACGTCTGATTAGCATTTCCTAGTCATTCGCCCTCTGCTTTAACGATTCAGCTTGACCGCAACATCTGCTTTAATTCTATCCCCTTCCTTACACCCATTTTTCTCGCGTTGTATTCAAGGCCCTGAGTAAGCAGTAAGAACCTCTGAAACGTCGGTCAGTTTCTAAGTCACTACACGGCGCAGCATCCGCAAGATCGCGACACCTTTACCGGAAATGATTCACTTCCTAGAGCTTTTCGAAAGTAACAGTTTGTGATTATACAGCCCTGAAGTCAAACAAAGACACAAACCATCGATTTTCCTTGTCATTGAAACATGCGACGTAGGTGGGGAAGCATTGCTTGTATATAGGATCAGCGATCATAAAGATCGTGTCGTCGATCACTTCTGCTTTTACGTATTCATACTTTGAGTTCATGCAAGGCATTTCGGTCCATGTGTCTTCTGCAGGGTCATATTTTTCTGTACTGAGCTCGGATGGTGTCTCGTTGTATCCTCCTGCACACACACACAGAGATTCCGTAACAGGTCACAGGATATTAAAAAAGCTGCCAAACGGAACTTATTCTAACCCCAATCAGCGGGGCCCTTCTTGATATTTGTAAATCTGTCACCTGGCCACGAAATGTTTGGCGTTAATGGAGCCACAAGTTTCATTACCTTATTCACAAAAGTCTGTAGTTGAACCCTTCCCACATACTCCAGTTCCATAAAACATTTTAATATTATCCTTCCTTTTACGCCTATGTATCACAAGTGGTATCTTACCTTCAACAGCACGGCAAAGTGAAATTTCCTTGCCACAAGAACAAAATATTTACCTTTAAAACTGGGACTGTGTGACAAATGGGGAATACGTTACTTGAGATACCACAAGAGATTATGCGTTGTTGGTTAGTTAGTCAGTTAAGTATTCTTCGTGGAGAATGTAATCGAAACCACGAATCGGGGTTAAAATTTCTGGCAAACCAAATTCGTAATGACAGGAGAAAATGCTGTTCATAAAATCTCAGTCACGCAAAGAAAACCAAGAAAACATTTCACAACAGCAAATTCTGTAAGTAGGATAGCGGAGCATCACTCAGAATGTCCAGAGTTCTCACCTAGGGCGTACAGACAGCCGTGGAAGGCGACGCAAGACAAAGCGGCACGTCCAGAAAGCATTGGTGCGACGTACGTCCATCGGTTGGTGTCCGGGTCATAAACTTCCACCGAGGTTATAATACTGATATGAAAACTTCCACCAGCGACGTATATTTTGTCTGCAAAAACAAATTAGCTATAATTAAACTGGTCCACGCAGAGCACAGACATTGGACAATCCGTACTTAAATTTGTAAATCTACTAATGATATTGTATTTAATGTCCCCTTCACGTGACAGAAACTGCACAGACACGGCTGTCTCTGTTCATCTGTTTCTTTGTTTCGAATGCAGACAATCAGGAAACGAGTTTAACTGATAAAATTTAATATAAACAGCACAAAGTGCTTAAATCAATGCATAATGGAAATGATGGTAGGTTATTATTACAGCTTCTGTGAAACGAATTTTATTAAATTTGGCGCCAGAGATGTACGGTACAGGCTGCAAAGCGGTGCTCTACATTTATAATAAAATGTGCTATTTACATGAGATTATTAACTGTCTCAAAAACATATTACATCTTTATTATATGAGAGCCAGTTTGATAGTTTGAAGGTTGTTTACACTCGATCCTAGTGTACACTAAAAATGCAGAAACGACGCACAGGGACAGCTTACAAGAGCAGAAGACACCATCGAACACTCAGAACTTCAAGCCGTTGCAGTCTGAGAAATAACGTAGTACGTAGCACGGATTAAAGAAGGAGATAGTAAAAGAATATGGGACAGTGAAGGGAGGAAAACTAAGTTCAAGAGCGAAGAGGAATGCCTTGATGAAGGAATGAAGCTCGTCTGAAACGTCGGCAGAAGTCAAACGACTGCCACCTCAGAACCGTTCTTGCGTTGTTACACGCGGACAGACAGACCTTCAGCACTAATTCACAAATTTCTGTTTCACTGCATTTACGTACCATTCAGAACATCCGCACTTGCATTGGGTACCATTCAGAACAGTTGCACTTGCATTGTATCGCTCTTCGTTCATGGGAGCGATCCACGACCACTGATTTGTCTTGCAGTCGTATCTTTCAGCCGTTCTGTGAGTCCTAAAATAATCGCGACCGCCCATGGCGTACACTGCACCTCGCAGAACTGCCACCACTAAACTGCCTCTGAAACGAAAAAAGTACACGCTTTGCTATGCTCATTTATTGCTGATTCAGATGCATTTCCTCTCGCAGAA